AGCACAGAAATCAAAGACCTTTCTGAATGTTGATGTCAGTTAATCAGAGAAGGGTGATTTCCAGAGACGGCATGTTCTGCTAGAAAATACACAAAAATGGGAGCCAAAAGGCCCCATTTCTATTCCTTAAACAAGGCACTACACCCCTTTATGCCTCAATTTACCCATCAGTAAAGCAAGGCCTCAGGTGGAGGACCCCACGTTCTTAAGGATGCCACTTTTTAGGTGGAACTCTGCCCAGATCAGCCTAAAGGGCCTTTCTGACTTCCTATACCTCAAATCCAGCATTCCATGGGGTAATTAAGCTTGCTAGGGATTCTGGTCAAGAAATTATGCTCAAAAAAAGGAAAATTTCTATTGTAGGATGTGAAAGATAAAGAAGAAAATGGAAAATATAAGAAAAAAGAGATGACAATGGTGAGGTCAAAGTTTACGGACAGGTTTAAACTCCACACTTAAAATCTCTGCAGAATCCTGGGAGATAACATGATCTCATCCACGTCAGGGTTTTAGGACAAGGAAGGAATCTTACTTTATAGAAGAGTAAATAATTGAGGAGTGAATACTAAGCATCCCTGTCATTAAAGTCCCTCCCTCCATCCCCTCAACCAGCAAAAGTTTCTCACTGCCCTCCCTTCTCCAGAGATCCCACCTCTCTACTGCTTATCAAATGCCCCCTAGCTGACTTTAGGAATTTCATTGTCTCACTGTCTTCTAGACCATGGATTCTAGACATTTGGCTCCTAGACCATGAATTCAAGGTCTAGAACAACTTTACGTTTGCTAAATGAAAGACCGTTTCCTCGTGGTTTCACCTTTTAGTGACTCCAAAGTATTAGCATGGTTCTTCAAAATTCCACCACATTATGTTGAACGGAATGCATAGAACAGTGGTTCTTAACTAGAGAGGAGGGGCCCAGCAATCGTGCCCTTCCAGCAACATTTGACAATGTTTTGTGACATTTTTGTTGTCACAAATGAGGAAGAGGATAATACTGGCATGTTGGAGGTAGACGCCAAGGTCACCGCCAAATAGCCCACAATGCATAGAACAAAGCCCCCTCAACACAGAATCAATCAGGCCCCAAATGTTCATAGTACTAAGGCTAGGAAACCAATATAGAAATTTACTTTCCTACTGATATGAGCAAGTTCATCTCCCCTTCAAAGGCAAAGGAAGCTAGCCAGTTTAGCTTTTAAGTAATTACCTTTTTCATCATGTTATGTTTAAAAATAATTTGTACTTGTCTTTCCCCAGTTAAGAGGTTTGGGATATAGAACTTTTAAATGATGTCTATATTCCATGAGGAATAATCATGTGACCTCTAGATTTCTAGCACTATAATCTCTAATAGACTGTCCTGGCCAATATGGTGAAACCCCGTCTCTACTAAAAGTACAAAAATTAGCTGTGTGTTGTGGCATGCACCTGTATCCTAGCTATTCAGGAGGCTGAGGCAGGAGAATCCCTTGAATCCAAGAGGCAAAGGTTGCAGTAAGCTGAGATCGTGCCACCATGCCACTGCACTCTAGCCTGGCCACAGAGTGAGACTCCGTCTCAAAAAACAAACAAACAAAAAAAAAACAAAATTCATAATCTTGAATATATAGGAACTAGCTTATTATGTATCCTAAAAAGGAATAGGTATATAGGAAATTTTACTCCCTAGATTAGATTATACAATTGTACTTGCATTGATGCAACTTTTTACAAACCATAAACATTTTAATAACTGGCAACTCAAGCCAGATATCCTAATCAGCATAGAACAAACAGAAATTTCTAAGTCATTACGGATGTCAACAATTTGGGATCAACCGCAGGAACCAGGGTGAGAAGTTGAGATCAATGAGTGGTATGAAGAATCCCCTGGTTGAGCGCTTGATTTAAAGATAAGATGTTCTCAGAAGAGAGGACAGACAGATGTATGCTTAGTGTTCAGCCCAGTTCATATAAAAGTGGATTCCAGCAAAGGGACCAAAGAAGGTATCCAAGGGCTTCAGACAAAGTCTGTTCTGTAGGGATCTTGCTACTGAATCGGGCACATGTGCTACCATGATCTGAGGAGGGTAACCTGCTGGCCATGCAGATCTTCTGAGGGAGCTCACCAGGTGTCGGGCGGGCAAAGCACAGGACAGAGCCGGGATGTCCCTCACATCTCCCCTGAGGTGGGAGCAGAGAGACTAGGCTTCCCTAACTAAAGTCTTCTAGGATCCACATAAGAAGACCCCCATCCATGATCTCTTAAAGACCCTTGTGTGTGAAAGAATGGACTCTGCCAAAGTATATGCAAATAATATACATGGTGGTTTTCATCTCTTGGTCCCTCAGATGAGCCAGTTCTTCCTGGGCAGGGCCTTGCACTCAGTGATGTTCCCTTGCTTGGTCTGCCCCACATTCCTCGTCTGCCTTCTTATGTCCTACTCTGGGGTAAGAATAATATCTCCCTAGGGTTGTTATGAGGAATAAACGAATCAGAACATTAGGAGGTTCCTGATGCATTAAGCACTCCATATTACTGTTATTAAATATGAATTTTTTTTTACCAGATGCTATTTCAGTGCTTCCCCAAATTAAACCTTCTTGACCTTTCTGTCCAGAGTAATCACCCGATTCCACCTTCCCTCCTCACTGACCACTGTTGTAATTTTGTGTTATATTGTGATGTGTCTACTTGTCTCTGCAAGCAGACAGAGGTTACTCAGGAGGGCAGGGGATGTGTTATTAGGACCTAGCACAATGCCCTGCACATAGTAGGCACTCAATAAGCATTCAGTGAAGGAATTAATAATTTTAAGTCCTTTCTTTCTCCCTTAAGAGAAAGAGGTTTTTCTCTGTCTATTGTGGAAATAAGCTTTAAAAAACAGAGGTGAGCTTTTATATAACTCTCTGGTCTGAAAATCCACACCACCACAGTATGCTTAACTGCTTGATTTATTTTGTCCTCAAGAAAAACGATCAGTAACATTGAATTAAATAGCTACATAATGCAGTCTCAAGGACATCCCTGAATAATTTTCCAAGTAATCAATGATATTGCTATGAAAATGTTGCCCAAATAAAGAACTCTTGTCTGGTGAATCTGTGAAGTAATAGACAGATAATTTTCTTTGTTAATACTTTTGTGGTCAGAGACCAACCCACCCGTTCTGTGAGGCAGCAGTAGAAACTTTTCTCAGTAGGTGAGAATGTTCCAAATTTGTTTCCTAGCAACATGTTCTTCAAAGGAGCTGAAGGATACACAATTTCAGAAGAATTTTCAGTGCACTTTTTTTGTTTGGCAGGGCAAGGGGTGGGAGGAAATGTATGTCAGACTGTGGTCAGAACAGTGTTCCAGTTCGTGACACATGTGAGATCTTGTCAGGTCAAACTATAGAATCCATCTAAGAAACTCAGTCGAATAAAAATGTATCAACCTCTTACCTGTAAAAAGAGGAATTATCTGTATTATTCATAAGCCCAGAAATTTAATAATTTAACAATATTTTCAGTCTGTGAATACCACTCCTAACCATCTTCACAGATAGTAAATGAGGAATTAGGTGGCTTGCTAACACACGTAGGGATTTTCCAAGGAGGAGGATGTTAATTGAATGATACTGAGTAGTTGGAGGAATGAAAATTAGAGAAATACAATCTGGAAGAGAAATTTGGGACAAGGGTACAGCTTTGACTGCCATAAATGGAGACATTTTACTCCAGCAAGACCTTCTCATAGCTACCTTTTCAGCTCCCATTGCATGGATTTATCATATATTCTTAATTTGGTTTTACAACTTGGCCTTCTGGTAATAATAATAACAACAGTAACAATACCAGGTAGTAGTGGAGAGAGGAAATACGATATGGCTGGTTGGTTAGCTCAATGGCTAAGACTTCCATCATTTTCTTGCTTCTGGTTTACACTGACATGAGTAGGACTTTTTCTAACCATTTTATATATATTATCTTATTTAACCCTTACAGCAATTCTTTGAAATAGCCACTACTATTATTTTTACAATCTCAGAGCATTGAACCAATTTGCCCAAATCACACTATTATTAAGAAATGGCAGAGCTTGGAAAAATATTGGCCACTGAAGTAACTAATCTGACCTATCCAGATCAATGTGGGTGGTGTGGAAAGATCTTTCTGTAGATCTGAGGATACCATGACTTGAGTGCTTAATCTTAGAAATGATCTGGAATCACTTGAATCTCCGAATGCAAATAGCTCATGTCAATCACAGGGACTTGCCTGCCACTTCCTATTAAATATACTACCCTAAAAAGTACCCCTTTTGCTATAACCACTATAATCTAATAAATTATGAATTTAGAAGCAAGCTGAATTGTCTGATGGGCTGCCACACTGAACAAATTGCCTGCACAATTGGCCTTCCAAGCGTAGGCACAGTCTAATTGCTCCTCCCCCTTTCACCGACATCTTGAATAAAGAGAAGCTTGGCACTGGTTTCAATCCCCCTCCTCACATCTCCCACAGAAGCTTTCTATTTCTTGGAAAAGAAAACTGTCCATTTATCCTAATAAGCATGAATTGGGAAAACCATAATCTTTAGGAGTTTCATTTAAAGGAACAAGGTGTCAGCACTTGGCCAACGAGAACAAGGTACAATGTCAGTGTGCACCAGAAGCAAGAGAATGATGAGCGTCTAAGCCATTGAACTAGCCAACCAGACTTATATTTTCATTCTCCAAGATTGGACCTGAGAGACAAAGTGAGCATCAAGTCGTCTTGAAATTCTAGGATATTCAAGAGCAGGGAGCAGAGCATGCAATGAGATATAGCAGCTAGCATAAATGTTTTCTTGGTGGGCTACTGCTTCCTGTATCCACAAGAAAAGTCTCCCATTAAATGTATACTCATCTCTAGGCTAGGATTCTCTCTCGCTATCTTTTTTTTTTCCTCAGTCAGTGGCTTCAAAGGTGATTCTTTTTCATTTTGAATTGATTACTGTACAATTTTTTGACATTCATTTTTTCTTTCTTTGTTTCAGAGGCTACTCTTTAAAGACAGGCATTTCACTTGCAGCAAAATGTAAGTACATTTCCTCCTTGAAATGGTATCTACTTCTCAGCTGTAATTCCTAAATTTTTAAAGGCTAATCTTTAAGGCTCCCGTCTCACATTGCTGCATTTTTAAAGTCTGGTTCAACACACACAGCCAATATAACATTTCATACTATTGATTTGTATAACACCATGAAGCATTTAAGAAACCATTTTGGAAGCAGATTGAAACTAATTGTGGTTGTGACAATATTGCATCTAAAAAGCTAGATAAAAGTGAAGAGTACAAATATAGGCAATGTTCATTTAGATATTATGACCACGTGACACTAAACGTTTAAATATTCAGTTCTCTCAAATGACTAATTTATTTCTCTTTTCCCAGTTGCTCCTCACCATGTAGTCACAGACTGTTTCTTATTTAACAGCATGGTAGTAACCTTAATAATTCCTTCCTGTGTGTACTGCATTATGGCCACTCTGTACACCAGTATTCTCTCCAGAACTAATCTCCTGTGTATTACATTTCTTTATTCTTAGTCTATACCCAAATTACAAATCCCCTCTATTTTGAAAGACCAAATAAAATTATAGCAGATCCAAACTGGGAGTTCTGAGTTTTGTCTTTGGAATTAGGGTGAATTTTTTTTCTTTTTTAATAAAATGAAGGTAAGAATAAGTTTAACAAAAAAAGAGAAAGTTTCATGGGTCTCTGGAGTAATGTAATAATACCCACTTTCCAAAAGCAGGGGGTAGATTTAGATTTAATATAAAGACCTTAGCTATTCAAAAGTAGCTCAAAGTGTAGTAAGTTGGCTTGTCACTAAGCAAGTAATCAACTATAAGGTAGATGGTTGAGTCATGCACCCTCTTAGAGGATACAACAACTCTCAACTTCTAATTCATATAGAATTTCCAGCAGAGAATGCATCTCAGCAGTCACTGAAGCATTTAATTAGACATTCGTATACCTATCAGAATCCAAAGAGCACAGTTGAATTATATACATTATACATGTTCTAATCAATTCTCTTTTGAATCATTCAGTCCCTGAGAAGATTATGTGTTCAGCTGAGCTGCAGGAAAAACTTAGTTTTTCCTGATTTCCCTGGATGATGGTTTTTTGTTTGCTCTCTAGAATAAATTGATCCCACTGCTATACATCAAATATTCAAGCATTAGCACAAAAGACATTCATCCTCAAAACATTCAGATTTAATGTCAATGTATTATGCATTCACTGGAGTTTTTTAAAATGTCAATCTCTGTATTATCTTGCATTAGTCTTTATTGCATTATCAAGACACCTGCATGCTATGAATGTTTTAAGTAGCTTTTACTGAGAAAGTCACGTTAGATTTTTTGAGTAGTCTCCTTTTCATATGCTATCATGAGTATATTGTTTGTACAAATGTTAACTTTTGACTATATTCTTTCTTTTGAACACAGAATGCTGTTCAGGGAAAATTGCTTATGTTTGCTTTCTTGCATATTCATATTTGGTAGCTCTTTACCATACTGTTACTGCCTATTTAGGTGTACTAGTATTTTAAATGAGTTAACGTTAAATACCGAAAGATAGTTGGCATGTATTAATGGTGAAATTTGATGAAGCCCACTTTAGGGCAGCATTTTAAGTCATTATGTGTAAATTTAAACACATATGTATTACCCCAGGATCTCTTTATCAAAATTTCAGTTGAAAGCACCCTTTATCTCCTAGAATGCAG